TTAAAATCCCACCTATTTCTTTCATTGGTAATTGATGAACGTAATAATTACTACTGTTGTACTCAATTGGAAACTAAAAGTAATTATTCAATGTTTTGAATGTCCCAATGTCTCTCTCAGACTTCTAATGCCTTCTCTCCCCATTGTTATCATTTTTTATATGAACCCTCCATTTTTCTCTGGTCCACTCATTCATCTTCTTCAGTATCTTGCTGTTATTCCCTTCTTCTACTTTCTGCTTTAGTCATGTTTTCAAAATACGATTTTATAAAATCTCTAAATTCCTCTAAGGATGATTGGAGGATTAAGGTTAGGGCCATTAGGACTTGGAAGGTCCCTAATTATGAGAAAAAGGGATTTGATGACAATCTGGAGATGATTCTGGCAGATGAACATGTATTTTTTTTTTATGTTGCAAACTTATTTTGCTCTCTTTTTTTTCTAATTCTTCGATTATTCTTGCTAATTTATGTTTGAATTGTGTAGGGTTCTACGATCCATGCTACTGTCAGAGGGACTTTGCAAGTTAGAAAAAAAATTATAGAAGGGGAAGCATACATTATTAGAAATTTTGGAGTTGGATTGAATGGTGAAGGTTTCAAGGCAACTAGGCATGTTTACAAAATTTCTTTCAACTTGAGGACAGATGTTAAGGCCATTGTTGATGCTACCATACCTGTCAATTGTTTCAATTTTGTCGAGTTTGATTTTATTATACAGCAAAAAATAGTTTCTCCTTATTTATTGGGTAATGTATTCTTTTGTTATTTTTTTAAATAATTTATTTACTTGGAAAAAAATATTTTCATTAATCTGAATTACTTTTTCTGTAGATGTCATCGGTTTACTGACTGGAACTAGCGAAGTTGAAGAGCATGATGTGTTTGGTAGGAAAGCAAAAAAAATTGTGCTGGAGCTTGATAACCACAGGTATTTTTTGTTGTAACGATTTTGAATAACGCATGTGTAAGAGTTATACTTATTTCATGTGTGGTAAATTGATGTCCGTAATGAGTTGTGTATATTTTTTAAAAAACCTCTGCGAAAAAAAGAGGTCAGAAACTTGAATGCACATTGTGGGAGCATTACGTTGATGAAGTGCAGAGTTTTTTGGCAAATAATCAGGCTTCTCAGAATGTTATAATAGTTCATCTTGCAAAGATGAAGGATTTCAGAGGTATTTGTCTTCATAAATATCTATTTTGTCTGTCTCCTTCTATTCCTTTTTTTGTAACTGTAGCTCTTTCCGTTTTTTTTTTCACTTTTAATTGTGTAGGTCAAAAGTCAATAACTAATACAAGATATACAATGCGTCTCATTATGGATTCGAATGTAACAGAAATTATTGAATTCAAGAAACAGTAAGAAATATTTTTTATGACCGTTGCAACTCTATTATTCAGTATAAGTTCTGTTATGAAATTTTTGTATGTTTGGATTCGTAATTTATATGTTACGTTTGTTTTTGTTTTAGGCTTGTAAATGTTTCAGCGGATTGTATTCGTGGATTGTCCCAGTTGTCTACTCAATCGACATATTCCTTTGAGAATGATTTTCTTAAAAATACAGAAAGAAAGTGTATTACTGATATTAAAATTTCTACCGAGGTGATTATTTGTGATTGGGATAAAGTTATGCTATCTTTTTTAAATTATTTTTATTTATTTTTAATTGTCGTTAATGTTATACATTTTTTTTCCAGGTTATGACGTGTATTGCTTACGGAACTATCAAAGAAATTGAGAGTAAATACAACTGGTGGTACAAATCCTGTAAGAAATGCCCGTATTCTGTTTTTGAAGATTATGAGAAATGGTTTTGTAAAAACTGACAAAAACATTGGAGTGATTATCAACCAAGGTGAGATTATTTTTTTTTTTAATGTTTTCTTATACTACGTAATTGACGCTGATAATAATAATTATTATATTATAGATTCAGTGTTCAAGTCAGAGTTGTTGATAACACCGATTCTGCATCGTTCATTCTCTTTGATAGAGATTGTGTTACTTTGTTAGGTATGAGTGCTTCTGATTTGCGTGAATTGCAATACAAGAGGGTTAGTATTCTATTTTTGCCCAACGCTGTGTTCATCAACTGTTGTCATATTAATTAGTTCTAAATTCTGATATTTTTATTGGTTGCAATCTTTTTTTTTTTGAAATTTTTTCTAGGGTGCTGATTTGGAACATTATCCAAAAGAATTTGATGTTCTTATTGACAAGTCCATGCTGTTCAAGATTAATGTTAGAAAAAACAATTTTGACTCATACAGTGAGCCTAAATATCAAGTTTCTAAAGTTTGCACCGACGAAACTATTATGTCTTCCTTCATCAAGTCTGCAACAGAATTAAATGTATTTTTTTTTTGTTTTGTGTTTGTCGCTTCTTTCATATAGTTGCCTTGCATACATTTTTCTTTTATATCTTCCTTTTCTTCTACCAAACAATCACAGGATGAAACTCTGTTTGATCAAGCTTTCGACAATGACATTGTTGCTGCTGAAAATGGAAGAGCTGCGGTAAGTTAAAATAAATTAACTTTAAATATTTTTATGCATTCTTATCAATCTTGATTTTCATCATCCCATAATATATTTTTTTTCCGTCAGGATGTTGCGAGTCAGACATGTGAAAGTGCAGATCCTGTTAATGATTCTCTGTCTACGATGACACCGTCTGTCAATTCTAATGAATTTATAGACGAAATTGGTGAACGTTCTGTTGTCCATACAATTAAAAAAATTAAATTGGAGAAATTGTTAGTACTCATGCCAAACACTGTATAATAATTTTTGTAATGCACTTTACTAATATATTACCATTTTTTTTGTTATTGTGTAAGTTTTGATGCAGCGAATGAAGACAACGTGGCAGATTAATGAAGTCGTTTTTCGAAAGGGGAAAATTTCATTTTTGGACATAGACTTCGCTGGTGTTATTATCATTGTTATGTTTTGTCTTTTAATTTATTTGGTTGTTTGGTTTTTTTCATCTTGGACGATTTAATTTTGAAGTATGTATTTCATATTTTGTTGAACATCTTATATTTCTGAAATATTTTGAATTGTTTAATCCAATTTTTTTGGCTAATATTTCTCTGATAACAATTTCCGTATGCATATTAATATAGATTATTACATGTGTTTGGAAATTCACCATAATTACTCATGAGTTTTCACAACAAATGAAACTTCATGAACGCTGCATTTGTGACTTATCGTTATATGACCTTTTATTGTAGAAAAGCTTTCCTCATTATAATATTGTATAAATACATTTTTGAATTTAAATTCAACTAATGATTTTATACACCTCATGTGTGTATATATTTAAGGTTATGTATAATAAATAAATTAAATAACAAAATTATATAACCTAATTACAAATAAATACATTTTTTTAATTCAAATATCGATTTATTGGAATAAATTAAACAATCAACAAATAATATGGTATTTTTTACAAAATATTGGTTTCCCAACAAATGATGAATATGTTTATTTCATTAAGTAATTACTTTTTTTTTTCAAAATGGTATTAATAATACTGAATTTTTATCTACTTAAATTAAACAAAAAATAAAAGATTTATTTTTATACCACTCATTAGAGTTCTGTTACCAACAAAATTAAATACAATTTTAAATAAAGAGCGTTAAATATGGTATTTTTTTCAAGAAGTTGGTTTTCCAACAAATGATGAATATGCTTATTTCATTAAGTAATTACTTTTTTTTTCAAAATGGTATTAATAATATTGAATTTTTACCTACTTAAATTAAACAAAAAAAAAATATTTATTTTTATACCACTCATTAAAGTTCTGTTACCAACAAAATTAAATACAATTTTAAATAAAGAGCGTTAAATATGGTATTTTTTTCAAAAAGTTGGTTTTCCAACAAATGATGAATATGCTCATTGGAAACAGAAATTACAATCCGTTTTTCAAAATGGTATTAATAATACTGAATTTTTTGCTACTTAAATTAAACAAAAAATAAAAGATTTATTTTTATACCACTCATTAAAGAGCGTTAAATATGGTATTTTTTTTCAAAAAATTGGTTTCCCAACAAATGATGAATATGCTTATTTCATTAAATAATTGCTTTTTTTTCTCTAAATGCTATTAATAATACCGATTTTTTGGCTATTTAAAATAAACAAAAAATATAAGATTTACTTTTTATACCACTTCAGTGTCTGAATTTTTATATAAATTTGATGATAAAAATTATGATTCAAAAATAAACAAAATGCAAAATTTTATGCATTAACAAATATTTTTTTCCAAAAAATAAAGATTAATAATGTATCAGATAGCATTGTAACAGTTGTAAGTAGTGTTTAATTAACGTGGAAGAAGAACCTGGAAGGAAGAACATGACATTCCATCGTCCATTTGTCTCATTCAGATTGTATATTTATTGATTTTTTTTTTCTTTTCTGATAACCCCATTTGACTGATTACCTACTCCACCAACGCTTCGTATTTCTAAACTGATATCTGACAAATGAAAAGGGGCGGCGTTTCATTTTCCAAGTTATCTGCACATGGATCATGATAACCCATAAGTACACTGTACCGCCACCGCCAAGTTGCATGGCTGCTTCATCCTCAAACAAGCGCGTAAAAATGGAGATGATCCATGTTGTGTCGCTGTCAAGCCTCCCATCTGAATTGATATTAGTAATATTTTGGAAGATTGCATCTCATTCTTTGGAAGACATTACTAGCATGAAGCTAACATGCAAGGGCTTCCTCAAACTTGCAGAATCTGATAATGTATACGAAAGTGTCTCCTTTGAAAAGTTGCACGATGGTCCGTTGGAGTGGGTAATAGAAGCCAAACCATTCTTTCATCAACTTGAGGCAAGCAGTGAGGATGCCTTCGACCAAGCAAAAATATTAAAGAGGAATCAAGTAAACTATTTCATCCAACGATGTCGAGAGAGTGGGAATCCTAATGTGTTGTTTCGTGGGATGAGGCCCCAATGGTACACAGATTTTGTTTTGAGGCTCTTGATAGAACACTTAGAGATGTTCTTAGATTTTCTAATCCGAGTTTCTGTGATAATCCATTTGGTGGAAAAGTTGTTGTTTTAGGAGGTGATCTCCGGCAGATTTTACCTGTGATTCCTCATGGTAGCAGACAGGATATAGTTCATGCCACTATTAATTCGTCTCATCTTTGGCCGAATTGTAATCTATTGACTTTGACAAAAAACATGCGTCTAACTTCAGGAAATAGTAATCAAAATTTGATGGAAATAAAAGAATTCTCTGAATGGCTTCTTAAAATAGGAGATGGTGATCTTGGAGATGATGTGGATGGGGAATCTATTATAACAATTCCAGATGCACTATTGATCAAAGAATCGGAAGATCCACTTTCAGATTTGGTTGATTTTGTGTATCCGAATATGTTGAATCATATTTTTGATCCTGCTTTTTTCAAAGAACGTGCTATTTTGACTCCTAAATTGGCAGATGTTGCTATCTTAAACGAGCGGCTTATGAGTTTTATTCCGGGCGAAGAACGAACATATTTCAGTTCAGATAGTGTTTTGAAGCAAGATGGAAATTCTGAGCTAGAGGATGTTGAATTTTCTCCTGAGATTTTAAATACCTTCTCATGTTCCGGACTTCCTGATCATAAATTAACTTTAAAGGTTAATGTGCCGGTTATGCTTTTGAGAAACATTGATCAATCAAAGGGGTTATGTAACGGCACAAGACTGCTTATTTCTAGATTAGGCAACCATGTTGTTGAGGCAACTGTTATTACAGGATGCAATATAGGAGGAACTGTCTTAATCCCTAGGCTCACTGTCAGCCCGTCTTCTCGTACGTTTCCTATAAATTTCCAAAGAAGACAATTTCCCTTGGTGGTTTCATTTGCAATGACTATCAACAAGAGTCAAGGACAATCGCTTTCTCATGTTGGAATTTATCTTCCTAGACCTGTTTTTACTCATGGACAATTATATGTGGCGCTATCAAGAGTAAAGAGCAAACAAGGATTGAAGATTCTTATATTTGATGATAATGGTTGTGTTGCAAATAGTACCTATAACATTGTCTATAAAGAAGTATTTCAAAGGTTAGTGTAGTTGATTTGATTTCTTTTTGCAGTTCACAAACTTGAATGCATTTATGATGAAAAAATCTTTTTATTTTTTTTAATTTTTTGCATGTCCTTCTGATTTTTTTTACTTATGGTTCCGGATAAAGTTATGCTATATTTTTTAATTATTTTTATATATTTTTAAATGTCGTTAATGTTATATATTTTTTTTTCTTTTTTCAGATTATGATGTGCTTTGCTTACGGAACCATCAAAGTAATTGGGAGTAAATTCAATTGGTGGTACAAATCCTATAAGAAATGCCTCTATTATGTTTGTGAAGATTTTGACAGATTGTTTTGTAATAATTGCCAAAAACATTGTATTGATGACCAACCAAGGTGAGTTATTTTGTCCAACGAAATTTTCTGATTTTTAATGTTTTGTTTTACTACATAATTGAAACTGATAATTTTTAAGTAGTCATTTCATATTTTGTCGAACATCTTATATATGTGTAATATTTTGGCTGATTGTTTATGTGATAACAATTCCCGTACCTATAGTTATATAAGTTAATAATTTTTATTAAACGTCAATTCATTTAGAAGGATGCGACAAGATTCGGTCGACAACCGACTGAAATTTTTTTCCCTCCGTGCAGCGCACGGGTAAATAACTAGTATATCTATATAATAGTGATCAGATCGATACTATATGGGCTGGCCAATAAGTATTGGGCCTAATCACACACGGTTGATGAGAGAAAACTTGGGGTTGGTTATCCACTCTTTGGGTTCTTGGACTGTTGATGGTTGATGATGGAGGTATTGAAATGATTCTCCTTTGGCGCGATGCCTCCGAATGGGGTGAGTATTTGCAATGACACTTCGACGCTCAAGTCAGTATCAAAGTCAGGCTTATGTAGTATTCTTACTGAATTAGATTGTCATACCTGGGTATTTACCCTTTGTTTATATAGTGAATTTGATGCCGCCTTTGGTAGGCGGTATGCCTTCTAATTGGCTGTTTATGGGCTATAGGTTCAATTGGTGCCTTTCTAGCCTTATCTCTATATGTCAAGCTATCTTGGTAAAGTGGTGGCAAGCTGGAGCTGTCCTTCGTGTATTGATTCTATGGCGTGGTGGCTCCTCATTCGTATTATTGATCTTCCTTAATACTGAAGTCATGTTAAAAGCAGTTTAGACGCGATAAAACTATCACTCCCCTCGATTCTTTATGCGCGATATAAATATCGCACATTATTCGGGCCCTATATTTTTGGGCCTTATTCTTTGGGTTTTAACCCATGATGAACCTATTGTATTTTATCCAGATGAAATAGTAACTCGGGGAGATAATAGCCGGTATGAATTAGAGCTCAATGATGGTTTTACTCGTTAAATCTCAGACACCGAGAATCAGGGGGAGGTGAAAGGTACGATGGCTCTTTGATGCAAAAATTTTAGTATAATAACAATAATGAAGAATAGTAATCAAAAAGTACCTCCACAACTGAGGGATGTGACATTTATAAAGGGTGAATTAAGACATTTATAAAGGGTGAATTAAGTTTCTCTGGTGTGAATCATGCTAAGTATACGACCTCACTCTCGTGTGAGGTAGCGCATGCTCACGTGTGTGTAAGGCATGTGTGTATGGAAGTGGGAGATTAGGTGCGAAGAGGGAATATTTGTTGCATTTTAGCGGTATAAATGAATTAACTCAGGTTAGAATTTGATTTAAGGGTTTTATGTTTGTTATGTTACATTATATAACATAATTTTTATACATATAATTTTATGTGGGTCTCATTCTTTGATTTTTATGTCTTTTTTTTTCTCTTTCTTTTCAATTGAGTGTGTAGAAAAGTTATATTACATCATATAACATAACTTTTGATTTACCCTTGATTTAATTAGATTATGTTATGTAAAATATTTCTGGTTTATCCTGACCTATTAGCCATATATAAACTAAATTATAGGTTTAGTCTAACATATATTAAAAATCAAAAGCCTAGCTATTAGTATATTTAAGTCTATTAGATCTTCAATTCTTATTAAGAATTAGAGTAAATATTCTTTCTGATTCTCAGCAAATTTCACGATATCCGTTTTAGTCCCTAGCAAATAAAAAGGCCCATCGTGATCCCTAAGAAATTCAAAATGGACTCATTTAGTTGAAATCGTGGTCCTTCACAAATTCAAAAAGATCCATATTAGTCCCTAAAAGGACTAAAATGGATCCATTTTGAATTTTTTAAGGACCACGACAAGCCTTTTTATTTGCTAGGGACTAAAATGGGCATTGTAAAATTTGCTGAGAACCAAAAAGGATATTTACTCTAAGAATTAAAAAATAATAATAAAATAATGATTTTATTTTAATTAAAATAAATAATATAATATAAGTAGTATGTAAGTTTGTAGGCCATGCTTATAAAAGTGTTCTTATAGTGTTTTCTTATTGAGCTTTTTTAAAATTAGAGCGTATTTTATTTTACTTGATATACTATGTAAGATCAAGTTAAGCTTATGATTTTGATTCATTTACACCTCTAGGTGTAGGTACGGGGTCTAATGACGATAATAAACAATTATTTCATCTAAAAATTTAAGTTTGTAAATAATATGAATCTTCAATGATTTTATATTATATTTTTTTAAGATATCCCTTACGTAGAGGCCTATTTTTTGGTTCTACCTTGTGCTGACTTAATTTCACTAGAATGTAAGTACAATAAGAATCAAACTCATGACTCTATGTTTATCTTGGTTGTTATACCATAATAAACAATCAATTCAACTCAATAACTTAAGTTTGTAAGTGATAGATCTTTAATAATTTTTATAAATTATATCTCTCTTTGTTAATAATTCTTTTGAAATAATTTAAAAATAATTATTATTTTTCATAATGTAAACGTTTTCAAATAGACAATGAGTGGGGGTACTTGTACTGACCAGTTCTACCCACCCAATAATCGTGACTCTTTAACTCAAATTAGAGAAGAAAGGAATGCCGGTGGAGTTCAACCAGTCATTGCCTTGTATAAACTGCCCTACCGTGAACTGGCTTGCCTCGGTGGAACTGTTGATGACCCTATAACCTGGCCACTTAACTCTACCACTTGTGTTTGAACCTGGACCCCTATTCATGTACTCTCCATAATACAGTGTATCCAAAGCAAACGTGTCATTCCATTCCAACCACCCTGCTGGGTCTATCAGATCCTCCATGTAAGATTTCAGATAAACTGTCCTTGAATACAATTTCCAAGGACGACCCAGGTAGTTCTTGAATGAAGATTTAACAGGGATTAAATCTGCAGCAGCTGCAATCTTGCAGTTCAAGATGGATATGCCAGTGTTTTGGTTAGGGTCCTCTCTGCCTTGTGCAGTGAACAAATTCTTCTGATTTTCATTTGGCTTGCGTGCGTACAAGTTACAGTTTTGGAAAACCACTGCTGCATTGCCAAAAATGAAGTCTACAGTGCCATAAATGTCGCATTCACGATAGAATTGGCGCAAGGAATGGACATAGAGAGTGTCCTGGTACCCAACAAAGCTGCATTGGTAGAAGGCTGAGAAATCAGCACCACTTCTCAGTGCCACGGCTTGGTGTTTGTCTGGTCCTGCTGAGTTCTCAAAGGTTATACCCTTCGCTATGAATCCTTCTCCTACCACAGCTGAAATGTGTCACAATTAACAAACCTGTTAGAATGAGATTTTCGACAATAAAAAAAATGTTTACTTTATTCTAGGCCCAATTTGTTTATGGAAATCATACTCTTATTTTGCATGAGATTGATCTCTCATATTACTCTCACTTCAAAAAAAATGGGTTTTTTTTTTTTTTAAAAAAAAAATTGATAAGACCCACTTTATTTGTCTCTTAACATGAGAGAACTTCTCTCATACTACGTAAGAAAAGTAATCCACTTTGTTTATCCCATGAATAAATAAAGATCATAAAGTTTTCTTTACTCCGTTTTTGTTTTTTCAATGTTCTCCAAAAATAAGAGCATCTTTTTTATTTGTTTAAAGCAAAAAGGAAGAGTAAAAGGCAGAGCATAAAAGAAGTAACAGGTAAAGTGGGCCTAATGACACTGAAAAGTAATTGGGTTATGAGTATTGTGCAGACCCAGAATACAATTCTCCTCCTTTAGTTGGGTTTGGACAAGTGGACCCTATCCTTTGACCCAACTCAAAGGTAACTCTTCTTTCTTGAAAATACAAATTTAAATGATGTTAAGCTAAGGACTAACATCATGCGCATTTTGTTTTTGTCTTTATTACAGATGGTGTCGGCACTCTGTAACTCAGATGAAAATTCAACAAAAAAGCTGTCGGCAGGATATCCCAAATCTAGGTTTATCACTGAGACGAGAAATAAGACATTTGATTTATATATATATATATATATATATGCTAATTTCATTGTAATTGAGGTACATTATCTAACGGATTGATTTGAGAGGATGCATTATAGTGCAATTGATGTTATAATTAGATTGCAAATTAATAGCAGAACTAAACAGAACACTAAAAAACACAAAATTAGAGTCTTCCAAGTCGTTTCATAAAAGAGGAATAATTGACGACACATATACACTTGATGACGAAGATAAACATGCAGTTTAGAATCTAACCAGCAATTTATTGTATCCAATAATACTATCATGAGTTTGTCATTATCAATAGTTGATAGCATCACATATTCACAGCATGATAGCTTACTAGAGTAGTTTAAGACATAAATCAGCTCACCTATAGCAACAAAGTGGCAGACATTTGAAAATAATTTTAAATTTTGGTTTTTGTTTTTTGTTTGTTGTTTGTGGTTAGATGATGGTGTCACATTTCCGGTATGATGAAAGCCTGAAAGGCTTTTTGTTATTCATGCTAGATTTAAAAACTTAGAAAGGAATTTCTTACAGTTTAATCTCAAATAATTAATAAGAATCCGAACATATAATGTATGTCCTTATCCACCACTATAGTCTATATATACATCCTTGCTTGTGATTGGATGGGGAAATTTAAGGCGTGAAGCTTTAAATTGACACTTGAATATAAAACATATATGCATGGATCCACCACCTATCATTTTTCAGCATTATGTTCAATCACGGGAAGTATAATCCTCGAAGATGTTAGAAGGGAAAAGCCTTTTATCTTTTTAACTTTTTTTGGTTCTATTCCAACATTCAAAACCAAGTTGAAGTTGAGCTCGAGAGACAGTGTCTCACATGATAAAAGGTAGAGCATTTCACCTTTTTATTGGCCAAGACAAGAATCTACCCACCAACCAACTACATGCTGTAATAATAATATTCATAGCCACTTGTCAATCAACCGACACCAGCGTGTGCTATATGAATTTCAAGAGGATTAAGGAGAGGGCCTTGTCTCTGCTTCCTCTAGAGAGCTATTTTTCAATTCAATTCTGGAACTGCAAGATGCCTTGAGAAACCCAATGTAGCCCGTGTCTGTTCAAACCATTTAAAATATGTTTCCCTACATTATGTTTTTTGACTAAAAATCCACTAACCAAAATTTATTAATCATCCGTGAGCGAAGGTGTGGGCTCATTATAAAGTTGCCGTTTTTGTTGTCTTTTTCCTAACATTTTCAAATGACTTTTCTTTGTCTTTAACTTGAAAGCCACACCGTCTCATACTAAAATTTATCATACCCTAGTAAGCTATCTAGCTACTAAATCTCACTTATTAGAGCCTACCCCAAATTTTTTTTTTCTTTTTGTTTTTCCTTTCATAGGCTATAGTGAAGTAAGCTAACTAATCCAACATAGTAGCAGAAGAAAATAGAAAGACTTACCGAAAGTAGCTGATTGGAAAGTGGTCCACCCATCCACAACATTCCTACTGCCTTTCATTACCGTTTTTCCAATCCCATCTCCAACAAACATTAAATTGCTCTTCTTCCTAATCACTTCCACATTCTCAAAGTATGCCCCAGCCTTTATGTGTATCACAAACCTATTATCACACATAATTAACACTACAATTAATTAAATATGTTTTTAACAAAATTAATCGAATACTTGGCATTAATAAAATGTATATATATAATATAAGTAACCTGGTTGTGCTGGAGTTCGGAGCCACATTTAGTGCTTCCCCTATGGTGGTGAAATTGCCAGTGCCATCTTTGGAAACAACAAGATCAAACTTGGTTTCATTTACAGTAGCTTGGAGGATATTTCGGTCTTTGGAGGAAACCCACGAGGGGAAACCACTTTTCATCTTTCCATATTCGGGAAAAGCTTCAGTTTTGGATGTTTTGTTTATTCCAGGCACTTTCTTTAGCATGGCCAAGGAGTTACTAACATGCTGTGATATCTGAAGCAACTTGTCCTGGATTCTGTCTCTCACCTTTTTTTTGCTGTAAGCAAAACCATCGAGGCACGTGTACAAGTTGGTCATTGCGCCGCTTAGCAGAGTCTGCAAGTCATGGTGTTGATTGGAACCTATTGTGCTTTTGGAGAGATCAGAAATGGTGGTTTTGAGCTCCAAAGTGGTGTCATCTAACAGTTTCAGACAGTCGTCGAGGGCTCTCTGTTCAAGTGGGTTCAGATTTTTGAGCTTCTTTCTTAGGCCGCTACAGTTGTTGGATGATGATTTTACCTCGTACACGGTGTGGTTGACCACGGAGGAGATAATTTGTGGGACAGATTTTGAGGTAAGATCTGGGAATGTGGCAAGGGTTGAGACACATAGGTCTGGGTAGAGTGTTCCTTGGCATGTAGAGTGGGCTATTTGTATATGCTTTTGGAAATGGAGGTGTTTTTCTGGTGCTCTTGTTGCTGTGATATGGGTTCCCAAAAAGAGTAGTGCAGAAAGCAGGGTCAGAATGAATATAAGAGCCAGAAAGGGTGCTCTTCTTCTGAGGCTATTCATGGTAGAGAGAAGGAGAGTTTAAGTGATAGCAGCTGAATTACTGTGTAAATGTGATTGTGCAGCAGCGGATAAATAGACTGGTTGGGTCCTGTAAAATATAGTGGGGATATTTCTCTGTAGATCTCACAAGAGGAGAACATTTATATTATGGAGTTTGCATCTATCATATCACATGACACAAAAAAGTTTCTTACACACACAATATGTTGTAAATAATATTGATTTAGTTTTTATTTAGTCATTTATTGTTGTATTGGGCCAAGCCCTTTGTTGTATTGGGCCAAGCCCATTAGGTTAAAAGTAGGTCAAATATTCTCTATAAATAGAGAACCCTTTGTACAGATTATTTACAATTCTATAATATATTAGAATACCTTTTTTCAAGTTGGTATCAGAGCTCTCGATCTGAGGGCTTTGCTTCTGCACATATTATCTTCTTTTTAACAAAACCCTAATTTCTTTGCCTCTTGCCGCTACCGGAAAATTTTTCTGGGGACCTTTTGGACCAAGGGGACCATTGTTGACCTTATTTTTCCTACGATCTATCATTCTACGCAGTGTTCCTCCGCCACTTTCCGGCGACTTTTCAACCGCGACCACCCACAGACAGGTGCGCGCTCACCGGACTAGCACACCAGAAAAATCTCAGCCGGCGAAGCCCATCCACGCGCTCTCACGCGCCGCCCCTTTCCCGGCGAGTGAATCCCACGCGCAGCTCCTTTCTCCGGCGCGTGCGGCCGTGTTTTTGGACCGGACCACCACCATTCTTCTCGTCTTCTGTCTGGATCTGTAATTATTTTTCTGATCAGAGGTCATTTGATATTCTGTTTGGTTGATTTTATCGCTGGTTGTTAACTTTTTTTGTTAAAGAATGGCCGAGCATGATAGTTCTTCGATCTTATCTGGTAAGAGCACACGTTCTATATCTCTTCTTGCTTCTTGCACTGATTTTAAAACCTCATGGATTTTGGATTCTGGTGCAACTGATCATATGGCTTGTCGTACTGAGTTGTTTTGTTCTTATCATCCTACTGTTGGTAGTCATACTATATCCGTAGCTGATGGATCCCATAAATCAGTTATTGGTTCTGGTAACATTCAAATTCAACCTTCCTTGTTTCTTAAAAATGTTCTTTATGTTCCTCAGCTTTCTACTAATCTTATCTCCACTCAAAAACTTACAACTGATTTGAATTGTTCTATCATATTTTTTCCTTCTCATTGTCTTATTCAAGATCTTACCACGAAGAAGACAATTGGAGTTGCTAATGAACAGGATGGGTTGTATCATCTCCTTCCAGACCATGCTAGCAAAAATCAGTTATTAATGACACGTCATCCTTCTACTGCAGAGTCTATGATTTGGCTCCATCACAAGCGTCTCGGGCATTCACCATTTAGTCTTTTGAAGTCTATGTTCCCCTCTCTGTTTCTCAATAAGTCAGTTGAGACCTTTCATTGTGATGTTTGTGAATTTGCAAAACACCATCGAGTGTCATTTCCTTCTAGCACTATTAAAAGCAGGGAACCTTTTTCTCTTATCCATTCTGATGTTTGGGGCCCTTCTAAAGTGCACAGTGTTTCAGGTGCTAGGAGGTTTGTTTCTTTTATTGACAATTGTACTCGGATAACATGGATATACTTGATGAAAGACAAGTCTGAAGTACCAGAGATATTTATTCGGTTTCATCACATGGTTGAGACTCAGTTTGGTAAGGGTATTAAAAGACTCAGATCTGATAATGGTACTGAGTACGTCAATCAAAGCCTGTCACAATTCATTTCAGACAGAGGTATGATTCATGAGCTCACATGTGTTGATACCCCTCAACAAAACGGGGTTGCTGAAAGGAAAAATCGTCACCTTCTTGAAGTTGCTAGAGCATTACTTTTTCATACATCTGTTCCTAGTTCTTATTGGGGAGAAGCAGTATTAGCTGCAACTTTTTTGATCAACTGTTTACCTTCACGGGTCCTTAACAATATCAGTCCTATTCATTCCATGACTTCCTTCTTTCCTTCTGTTCCCATATTGCAAAGCCTTCCACCAAGAGTGTTTGGATGTGTTGCCTTTGTCCATGTTCATAAACAACATCGGAGTAAGTTGGATCCTAGGGCTCTTAAGTGTGTCTTCCTTGGTTATAACCCTTATAAAAAAGGGTACAAGTGTTATCATCCACCAAGTCGGAAATTTTTTGTTTCTATGGATGTCACCTTTCAAGAATCTGAATCTTATTTCCTGGGTCCTCATCGTCAGGGGGAGAATAGTTCTTCAGAAGACTCGTCCCCTTCCTTCTTTGAGTCTGGATCAATCTTCTCTCTTCCTAGTGTGTCTGCTCCTGGTGTGTCAGAACCTTCAAATACACCTGAGATACAACTCATACTGTCTCACCAGCAACCTCAATCGTCTGAACCACTGGTAAGTCCTGAATCTCCTATTTCTTCTGAGTCTCCTGAATCTCCTGTTTCTGATTCTAATATTATTCCCTCTCATGATTTGTCTATTTCTTCTGATATCTCTAATGACTTACCCATTGCTTCTACTTCTGATGACTTACCTATTGCTCTTAGAAAAGGAAAAAGATCTTGTCACAAGAAAACTTGTTCCTCATGTCCCTCTTGTACTCAATACCCTATCTCCCACTTTGTTTCCTCTGCTAATCTTTCTGTGCAGCACAAAAGCTTTGTTTCAGCACTAGATTCTATTGCAATCCCAAAATCAGTACATGAAGCCTTGAAAGATAGGAATTGGGCTCAAGCCATGCAAGAGGAGATGAATGCTTTGGAGAAAAATAAAACATGGGAGGTTATTGATAGACCCAACGGAAAGAAAGCAGTAGGGTGCAGATGGGTTTATGCCCTGAAATATAATTCTGATGGCACTCTTGAGAGATATAAGGCTCGATTAGTGGCCAAAGGTTACACTCAAACCTATGGCATTGATTATGAAGAAACCTTTGCTCCAGTTGCAAAGATGAATACAGTGAGAATCTTGTTATCCCTTGCTGCCCATTACAATTGGGATATAAATCAATTTGATGTGAAAAATGCTTTCCTCAATGGTGAGTTAGAAGAAGAAGTCTACATGGAAATCCCACCTGGTTTTGATTCTGTGAAGGGGGGAAATAAAGTTTGTAGATTAAAAAAGGCTTTGTATGGATTGAAGCAGTCACCTCGTGCTTGGTTTGGAAGATTTACTAAGGTTATGATGACCTTAGGATACAGACAGAGCCAAGGAGATCACACTCTTTTCTTCAAGCACTCCCAAAATGGGAAGCTTACTGTGCTCCTTGTATATGTTGATGATATTATTATCACAGGTGATGATTTTGTGGAGAGACAGATTCTGCAAACACGGCTTGCCTCTGAGTTTGAAATCAAAGACCTTGGGAAACTGAGATATTTCCTAGGGATAGAAGTAGCTCATTCAAGCAAAGGAATTTTTATCAGCCAGAGGAAATATGTTCTTGATCTTCTCAAAGAAGCAGGAAAGCTCGGGTGTAAACCATCTAATACTCCTATTGAGCAGAATCACAAGATGAGCTATGAAGAAGAGAGTCCTCCAGTTGATAAAGGACAATATCAACGGCTAGTTGGGAAATTGATATATCTGGCCCATACTAGACCAGACCTAGCTTATGCTGTTAGTGTTGTCAGTCAGTTTATGCACGATCCAAAAGAAAAACACATGTAGGAAGTAGAGAGAATTCTTCAGTATCTTAAAGGTACTCCTGGTAAAGGATTGTTATTCCGACGTGATGGCAATCTATCTTTAGAAGTCTACACAGATGCTGATTATGCTGGATCCGTGACTGACCGTCGTTCTACCACTGGTTATTGCATGTTTCTCTGCGGTAACTTGGTGACATGGAGAAGTAAGAAACAAGATGTGGTTGCCAGATCAAGTGCAGAAGCTGAATTTCGAGCTATGGCTCAAGGCATTTGTGAGTTACTGTGGCTGAAAATTGTACTTGATGATCTCAAAATAAAATGTGAGGGACCTATGAAGCTGCTATGTGATAATAAGTCCGCTATTTGTATAGCTCATAATCCAGTTCAACATGATCGGACTAAACATATTGAGGTTGACCGCCATTTCATCAAAGAGAAACTTGATAGCGGGTTGATTACCACTCCATACATTCCCACTGGGCGTCAATTAGCTGATCTATTAACAAAGGGGCTTCCTTCAGACAGATTTCAAGAACTTACTAGCAAGCTGGGAATGATAAATATCTATTCTTCAGCTTGAGGGGGAGTGTTGTAAATAATATTGATTTAGTTATTATTTAGTCATTTATTGTTGTATTGGGCCAAGCCCTTTGTTGTATTAGGCCAAGCTCATTAGGTTAAAAGTAGGTCAAATATTCTCTATAAATAGAGAACCCTTTGTACAGATTATTTACAATTCTATAATATATTAGAATACCCTTTTTCAAGTCAATATTATGTGGGACCTGCACTTTTTGAAGCAAAAAAAACAAAGGCACGCAAAACGAATCTCTATAATATTACATAATCATTCTTCCTACGACATAACTCTTATAAAACCCTTATATTATTTATCAAAGGAAAAAACATAAGAATAGTTTTATTTTTAATAGATCCATCGAAAATCGTGATATCTTTTTTTCTTTTTTTTTTGTAAATAATGAACTCCATTACATTGTCTACGACATAAAATATTTTCTCTCGTACAACATATGAACCATTTATCAAATATGGTAAAAAAAAAACACGGGCGACAGGAAAAAATAAAAATTTCTTACATAAACATCATTTTGTGGGACCCTCATCTTTTGAATAAAAAAAAATTGAAGTACAAAAAATAAATTTCTATAACATTACAAACTCACTTTTCGTACAACGTAACTTTTATAATACCCAAAAATAACACCTTCACAGCTCACAGTGCCTTCACTTTTATACTTAATTTTATCTGTATCGCATTTTTTTTTTTTTTTGACAAAAGAATAGGTACATGTTACTTTGACTTTTTTGAAATATTCCCAAAATGAGCTCC